ATGTTTGATTTCAACTCTGCCTTCTAGCCAATCTTGTAAAACACCTAAGTGCTGATAAAGCAATGTATAGTCCTGAAACAAAAGAATCTTTCAGCATTATGTAGAATTATTATTATGCCACTTCATTTTCAAAACTTCCAGCCAAAAATAATGGCAAACACTTCTCCCTACAAATTGCATGGAAGTGCATCATGAACCACAATGAGAGGGTATCCAATCAATTGTGTGACTGGTCTCCTTCTCCTTCAGTTCTGGAAATCTCTTCCATGGTGAATTAGGCAGGCTAGAATTTCCAGGATTGCTACAGTGATACCATTAACATCAGAGGACTGTATGCAAGGCATCATGTACCAGATCCAAGTTTTACAGCAAAATCCCCTGGTTTCTAACACAAGCCAGTGCAGTGAACTGGAAATTGTCACATCTTCACGGAAATTCAAAAATTTAAAGCTTTGTTTAATTAAGTATGAAAATAAATAATACATAATTACAGTACATCTTCCATTATTGATTTTGCTATTAGATTCTGCTGATAGTATTCTGGCCCTAAATTTCCAATAAACTGGAAGAGATGAGGATGGAGGTGTTTGAAACTGAAGACATGGGGTATTTGGAAAGTCAAGGTAGGTGACTTACAATTGTGCAATAAGCACATTAGCTCAGTTTCCATTAAAATGACCAGCAGTGGAACAGTTAAAAATGATGACATTTACTTATATTGTCATATTTATGTTTCAAGTCAACAGCCTCTTTGGGGGAGGGACCATCTTTTTCTTCTATGTTTGTACAGTGCCTAACACAATAGGGTCCTGGTCCATGACTGAGGCCCACACAGGTTACTGCAATACAACAGCCCACTGAGGTGAATGAGACAGTTCTTAGTCAGGAAGACAACAGTGCTCCAATTGCACTCACCCATATTTGGAAGGGGATTTTTTCAATCATACATAAAAAAACCCACTAGCACTTATGCATTTATTGAGATTTATAAAAAATACTAAAGAAAAGGGTGCCTAACCATACGCTATCCATAAATGAAAGCTTAAATTTCGGTAGCAAAGGGTGAATTCCATAGCTGTGGGATCATGGAATACAGGGGCCCTAATTATACTAGGCAAGAGTCGGTTAGGGTGGATGATTATAAAGCTAAAGCAAAGTTGAGGAGTTTGCAAACCACAAAAGCGAGTTATTGCTTGTCAACTCTAATAGATTAAAAATTATTTCTGTGTTGAATCCTCGAAAAAAGGTTCAAACCAGCCATGACATAATGAAAAAAATATTTTTTTTCCATGTCTCGTCAGCATTTTCTTACTGTCAGGGAACTTTGAAAGTTCTTTGCTGCTGCTTCCTCCAGTTTTCCAGTGATGAGATTTTAGGGGTGGGGCTTACATGAATCTATTCAAGTGTTGGTTTGGAGGTGAATTACTGTTCAAGGGAGCAGACTTAGTGAGGAAATGGAGTGATGTGACTGAATAGATAAGAACCAGACTATCACTGGCTCCTCCAGAGGTGTACAAGACTCAGAGAGGGAGCAAAAGAACATTCCCCATGGAATAGGGGCCAATCAGAGTGGCAGTCCCTGTGTTCTTCTGGATTTACAGGCTGCATGCCACCAAAAACTTATTGTAGAGAAGGCTATGATCCCTTCAGGAGGAAGGTCTTGTGGTGAAGGCATTGGACTGGAACTCAGGAGACCTAGGCTAAATTCCTGGCTCTTTCACAGATTCCCTCTGGATTACCTTGAGTAAGATACTTAGGATCTATGACCCAACAAAGAACATAAAAATGTAAGACTGGCCACACTGGGTCAGACCAAAGGTCCATCCAGCCCAGCATCCCATCCTCTGACAGTAGCCAATGCCAGGTGCCCCAGAGGGAATGAACAGAACAGGTAATCATCAAGTGATCCATTCCCAAGCACATTTAACTTTAAGCATGCAAGTGGTCTCATTTATTTCAATAGGAGTACTCACATGCTTAAGTTAAGCTCATGCCTAAGTGTTTTGCTAGATCAGACCCTTAATTTTTCTGCATTTTCCAGGTCACCGTCTATAAAGCGGGGATATTAACATTTCCTTTGTCTGTCTTGTCTATTTAGATTACAAGACCTCTGAGTCACAGACTGTCTCCTACTACATGTATGAACAGCACCAAGCACAAGGGGGCCCTGATTCTGGTTGAGGCCCCCAGTGCTATTGTAGTATCAAGAATAAATAATAATATGTCCCATGAATATTTCAGTGCTATTTGTGAAAGAACAGATTTGATTTTTCTGACTGACTGAAATCTTGTCATGCAATTTTTGCATTATCCTTTCCAATTCAACACAATCTATTGGTGGTTATAAAATATCCTCATCTTTAAAGACAACAATTAACAACATCTTGATGACAGCCAAGGACTTAATGATATAACTATAGAAATATTGTTACAAAGGGCAAAAACAACAAAATGAAGGACTGGCATCATATGCAGGGCAAGCAAGCAAGATCACTCATGGATTATCTTTAAATTAGTTTTTTAACACATCGTTTCTCAATTGTCTCTCTAGCCCTTAGCATCTGGATCTTGTTTAAAATAGAAATTGGGCTCTTAGATAGGATTTTTAGTTGCTGATGACTAGTTTTCTGAAAAGATGTCTGCTGAGCTGAGAGAGAATACACACACTAAATTTATGGACATATTCAAACATATTAGAGGCTGTCTGACATATATCAAATAACTTTCCAGTAATAACCACAAACACACAGAGGAGCACAAGTGGAATTATCTACTCCATGCTATGGTTTCTGGACCTCAACCAGAAACTCAAATAAGAATCAGCTATCGTATTATTCAAGTTAAGCATGCTGGGAAACATTCTACAGTCAGCCTGCATTAGTTTATATGTATTAGTTTCTATCTGCATATATTAGGAAGGTGTTTGGATATTGCACATATAAAATAAGACGACAATTAAGTTCACATTAAAGAAATACAAACATGCATTTTCATACATTTCTGAAGTTGCTTATCACAATAATTAATTACATGCATTTTGTGATGGAACTGCAAAGCAAGGGACTGCAACTCCCATCAGCCCCCTCCCCACAGCACTTCCCTTTCTCCTGCCCAGGTAAGGTAGTGACTGGGCTCAGCCTGTAGTGTAGGGCAGCGGTATGGAAACAAGGAGGCAGGGAAGCTGAGGCAGTGACCTGTGGCAAGCAGAGAGTTGGAGAGAAACTGGAGGCAGGAACAGATGCAGAGCCGCATGTGGAACAGGCTGCGAGTGCTGGACATTACAGAGGGTGCAGGTCTGTGTGGACTGAAGGGGAAGCAGCAGCTGGGCGTGGAGACAGTGCAGAGGGGCCTCAATAAGAGACATGAACTGAGCCTGGTTTGGAAAGCTGCAAGCCCCTATTTTCTTGGTATAGAAACTGGACTGGAGAGGGCAATCCCAGCACCAGGCATGAAGAGCCCTGACTCTCAATTGGACTGCCCCCAGGGGCCCACCCAATCAAGAACCACTATTGCTTACTTTGAACTGTAACTGTTTAAGCTTCTGTACCACGGATATTTGCAACCTTTCCCTTTCCCACTAGCCCTAGTAAAATAACCTTTCCCTTGGCCATGTATCTAGGTTGTTACTGGAACCCACCAGGGCTAGCGCCTACAAGGCCAGCTGTTGATGCACCTAGAGAACTTACCTCCCAGTCACAGTACCTCTAACACACTACTGGTGCCCTATTAGAGTTGTCAGTTTTGGTTGGACATATTCCTGGAGGTTTCATCACATGACATAATCTTTAAAGATTAATCTTTAATGCCTGGAGGGCTGGCAACCCCATGCTAGGGCAGGGGTTCCTGAACTTGGTTCGTGGCTTGTCCAGGGCAAGCCCCTGGCGGGCTGCGAGATGCTTTGTTTACCGGAGGATCCGCAGGTACGGCCACTCACAGCTCCCAGTGGCTGCAGTTTGCCATTCCCGGCCAATGGGAGCTGCGAGCAGCTGTACCTGCGGACGCTCAGGTAAACAAGGCATCTCGCGGCCCACCAGAGGCTTATCCTGAACAAGTCGTGAACCAAGTTTGGGAACCCCTGCCCTAGGGGCTTGGGCTACAGAGTGGCCTCAATAATTAGAATTTTAATTAATGTCAAAATGCTCTAAATATATGGTTATATTCAGATCCCACAGGAATGGCATTTCTGATTTAGATTTTGTGCTCTGTCTCATGCAAATATTTTCTACCTGAATAAACTGGTTTGTGATTATAACAGAAAACATAAGACATTATGTTAATATCCCCTCTAAACATATGTATACTCTACAAATAACCCCTTGGGGCGGCCTATGCCAGCTGACTTGGGCTCGCGGGACTTGGACTAAGGGGCTGTTTAACTGTGGTGCAGACACTCAGGCTCAGGCTGGAGCCTGGGATCCAGGACCCTGCAAGATGGAGGGTCCAGAGCTCAGGCTGCAGCCTGAGCCCAACAGCTACACTGCAACTAAACAGCCCCTTAGCCAAAGTCAGCTGGCATGGGCCAGCCATAGGTGTCTAACTGCAGTGTAGACATACCCTAAGAGTGCTGCTCATCTGAGAATCTTATATCATTCTGATAATAAATTCATTTATTTTCTTTGGTTCATTTTATCCATTCTTGTCATGCTTTAGTCTTAACACTTATGTACTGTATGCATTAACCCTATAATTTTATTAAGTAGCTATTTATATCTAGTGCAATTATAAATATGTTGCTGCATTTCAAATAAAAAAGGCAACATATCTGGTTTGTTTATCATTTTACCAGAACTGAGTGTCTTCGTACTCTGTCAGTGTATAAAAAAATACATTTATGCCAAAATTACATTCTGGACAGCACATCTTATGGCAACCATACATTTATACAGTACATTAAGAAGTTTCTGTCTCAGTTTTGACATACTTTTCAGGGCTTATTTCAGACCCTTCTGTTAAATGTGTGTTGCTGTAGTATATTAATGTTTATAATAAAGACAACTTACTGGAGGTCCAGTTTCTCCTTTTGGCCCTCTTGAATTCTCCATTTCAAACACTTTGTTAAGATCTTCATAATCATAATTGTAACTTTCAACATCAATTTCATAACCGTTTTCTGCAGCATAAGTCTCATCAGCATCAAATGCACCTTCCTCCCATGGATTGAGCTGATTATCCAAAGACAGGTCTACAGTAGCCCTGTATAGTGTTGTGTTTAAGATTTGCTGAATTTCCAGGGGTTCATCTAAAAGCTGCTTGGCCTTTACCTGTGTTTTCATATCTTTGATCTTACTCTGTTTTACAAAAGAAATGAGGGGGAGCTCACTTTTTCCACCTGCATCTTCTGTGGCATTATCTGAACTATTTTGAGGTGATCCCAGTTTTTTTTTGCTGCCATTCCTCTTTTTGCTCAAGTCCTGTTGATGAATTGACAGACTAAAGTTTTCCTGGACACTTGCTTCAGGTCTAATTGTTGTGGACTGAGGTTCAGATTTTGCAAGCTCTGATGGAGTAACAGTTCTTAACGCCAAGGATTCTGGTAGGGTATGGATTGGTGCAGTGTTGTTAATAGGAAGGTTTAATGCTTCTTTCTGTGTATAAAATGATTTATGTTCAGATTGGGTGTTGTCACCAAACTGTTTCCTTGGAAAGTTTACAGACACCCCAGCTGATGTGTCGGGAGGTGCTGGCAAAGATCGGTATGTTTCAGCTTGGCGACATTGCTGTTTTACGTATTTACAATAGTTTGCAGAGGCTTGTGCAGACGGGATAATATCCAGTTGACATATTACTCCTTCAAAGCTGACAGACTGAGAGTTCATCCGTCCTAAGGTAAACAAACCATCCAAATCAAATATCTGTACTTTAGAAAGTGTTTCCCTGCTGTAATATTTCTTTCCACACTCAGCAAACATTGAGACTGTCTTGTCTCTAATGTCAATAGCAAATGAATGCCATTGTTCATCATGAATACTGTAATCAAAATATACAGACTGCTTCCCTCCAATATATACCACTACCTTCTTTGGTAGCAACTGTACACCAAACTGCAGTCTGTTTTTGTCCCTAATACTGAAAAGAAAAGCATTGTTTACTCTATAAGAGTGTAGCCCAATCAATAATGTGAACTGATTCCCTAGACTTGATGGTATGACTTGAGTGATAGGGGATTCAATGTGTGCATCTCTGGTTAAAACAACGCCTGATGCTGTTAAGCGAACCCCCTGAGGTAACGGAACAGATGACAAGGGCATTGTAGACACTGCTGATGGATGTTGTATGTCTTTCCCACCAAGGCCTAACTGATGAAGAACATCTATGCCTGCAAAAGAAACAAAAAGGGGGGGGGATGTATTATTGTTTTATTTCATTCATATGTTCATAAATTGATATATATGCATATATAGCATGTAGACACACACACACACACACACCCTAATATCAATACCAGCATCTGAATAAAATTATACTTCACAGAACGAATGTACTGTATACTATTAGGTCACTAAATCCCAAAGGAAGATGCATCAGTCAGTGATATAAATGGAGAGCAGAAACCTGACTAAAGTCAGCTAAACTGATGAACAAAACAATCCCCAACTTGTCTTAAAAACTAAGACCCAGCTTGTCTTCTCACTTGGTTCACCCACAGGAGGTGCTATGAGGGGAGGAATCTATGTGATGATTCCTTCATAGAGACACCCTCCCCACCCCATGCACAATATCATCCTATGGGGGAGGGGAGTTGCCCTCTCCACAAAAGTCCTACTCCCAAATTTGACAGGAATTGAGGCAGAGAGTACCCTTGCTTCCACTTTGGTTCTGGCCTCCTACACTCCCCTGGCTTTGTGATAGAATGGCCCCACTGCAGGCATTTTGCCAAGGACTCACCCGAGACATAACTCCTGCTGCTGTATAACATGGAGATTGAGAACTGTCCATGTAAATTTATTCCCAGTACTACAGTGGGATTACAACTTGGTGAGAACACCCTCATAGCACTCTACACTCCAATAAGCTCCCAAAACTTAAAACATGGAGCAGCTAATTTACAAAATGGAACAATTCCGAATTCCTGTCCTCTCTCCGTTTTCCAATAGACTGAAAGCAGAATCCCCACTTACTCTAAATTCACATGCTCACTACCAATCTGCCACTTTCAAGCAGGCAAAAGGTCATGTATTACTTACATACCACCACAGCACCTAACTTTTAAATACTTATTTTAAATTAGACAAAACATGCTGCACTTTTTTCTGTTAACCACCCATGCTACAATGCTTTACCCTGTGGCATAAATAGCATTATTGAAAACACAAGGTAGAATTTTGTTTAAAGAGGGACAACCAGCATATTAGCACAGCAACAGCTCACCAAGTACCATAAGGGAACCTCAGGTTAGGCAGAGAGGTAAGCCTGACAGCAGAGATATTGAGTGTATTGTGGATATGCTGCATTTGGTACATGAGGAGGAGAGCTGCTGCCATTCCATCAGGGTGCCCCATTCACCACCCACCACGCAGTAATGAGTCTGGCTTCGAACGAATGGGATAGCCATCAGTTGCAGATATCTGTGCCACGGGACAGTCAGAGGAAGAGGAAAATGAAGATTTCCCCAGGGGAACAAAAGGTGGTGTCTTAATTACAACATGTTTGTACTCCTCTTCCTCTGCTGAGTTTACTCGTAAAGAGCATAGATGAGGTAAGCCGTGGAGAAGCTGTCTGACCATGCAAAAGAGGAATAGGCCAGGTAAGGGAGGGGAATCAGCAGGACAAAAGTGCCAGTGCTCTCCATCTTTTGGCTCTTGGGCTAAAAAGTCCCCATCCTGCCCCCATCCTTTCTGTTAATCAAGAGGCTGCAGCTATACAGAAATGATTTAAACTAAGATTGCATTCTAGTGGAAGAGAGAAAAACGTTGTAATACATTAACATATAGCACTCACGAGATTGCTGCTACAACTGTGTGGGTCACTTCAGAAGAATCCTTGCAGTACAGTGTAGTTTTGGCTCTGAGTGTGAAATAAAAGCCTATTTCCTCCCAGAGGGTGGATATATTCTGATCAATTAATAGAGATGAGAGAATTTGCCTCTAGTTGAATTTGTTTGGTATCCAAATAGCTGGACCAAGCTATTACCCCTGACTGGGGAGAGATTAGCATTTTCCATCGTATTTTGGCAGAGGGTACTTTGTGCTATGTAATTTGTGTTTGTATTATGCAAATAAAGCTGAGGCTTTTTAACTATTAAGTGGTTTAAATGAAATTGGGAGCAGCCAATGGAGGCTAAGGATTTTTGCCAAGGTTAAGGAAGTGGAGGCACAACTACAAATAAAATAAAAAGACAGTAATTGAAACAAATGGATATTCACAATTTTTAGTGGATATTAGATTTCTTTTTCCAGCTCTCCCACTCTCTGTTTACTGAACACATTAGTAGCAAATGTTAAGAATAGACACATCTTGGCTCAGCTTCTATAGAAAATACAAAAAAGCTGAAGATTTCCTTGGAAGCGTTTTAAAAATTGGAACCAAAAGCATAAACCTGAGTGCACTGTACAGCTTGAAAATTAATTACACACCTTGCAGTGGTTCTAGTCCTGTTAGAAAGTTTGCAGTAGTGCCAAGATTGTACTGGCAGGTAGCCAGCACAGACAGGGGCAAGCAAAAGCACATCTTCAGAGAAAATCATAGATACCTGCCAATTTCTCAGGATGCCACAAAGTAATTAATTTATCCAGGCTGTATTTTAATCCATCATAAACTAATAGCAAATACTTGCTATGCAACTGCCAAATTTAATGCATGTGGTAATGAAAAATCATGATTTGCCACAGGCTAGATTCTGTTTAGTCATGACATGTGTGCACAGGGGGAAGAAGTATTTGCATTGCTCTAGCAAAGACCAGGTAAAATTACAGCCTCTATGCTCTGGGGAGTGCAGGTGCTCCCCTGGGGAAATGACACCCCAAAGGAGGCAGCAGCCATGGCTCTGTCCCCTCTACGCACTGGCCAGCTGAGGTGGTTGGCTGCACAGGATGGAACAAATTGCACCCCACAAAAGGTTTGGTGCTACCCCCAGGGGCAGTGTCCCCCTAATTCCAGGCTGGGCCTAAATGTCACATTTAAACTCTATAAACACCTTACGTTTGTGATGGATTGTGTTTGTGTTTGCAAAACGACATGCGTAAGCATGGACTTTGTCAGAAGGATTATGAGTTGAAGGATAAATCAGAGATGGCTCAAACAAACTGGGCTATTAATAATTTTTTTTTAAATCATTGTACATTAAAAATACTGTACCTCCCTCTGAAGTAATAACAAAACTGCCCAAAGTCAGGCAGTTCAAATGTAAAGATTACATGGATGGACTTAATACAATCCTATTGCCTTTAGAAATACAGTACAGGAAGAAGGCCCTCAACAACCTAGCTAAGAGTTTCCCTCTTAAAAATGCATCAGCACAATATTATCACAGAGCTTGATTGTGTCAGTTACACTGAGCCCAGAGAAAGGGGCCGCAGTGATGTCAGGTGCCACACTGCCCTAGGGGAACACTAGGAGGCATTGTGCTTCAAAGAGCCAGACTGTCACCCAGAGCTTAGAGGCTACTTGTCTGCTGCCACACTCCTTAGTTGGGTGCAGTATACTCCCTCCAATGCAGCCAGCCTCCTCCATTGGCCAGCGCGTGTGGTGTTTGGCCTGGGGAGGGAAAAATGAAGCTCTGGCCCTGGCTTCTTTAGGGTACTGTGCACCACCAAAGGAATAGGTCCAGAGTGCAGGGATTACAATTCTTTCTGGCCCTTGCATGGGCTGTGGAAGGGGGACCACAGCTCCTTATGCTGCCCCCATCCCACTATTGTGCACCCATCTAAGAACCAGGCAGAATCTGGCCCATAATGGTTGACTAGATAGCTCAGAGGATTTGTAATAAGATATAGACCCTTTCATCCCCAGATCAATGACCAAAAGTTACTACTTCATGATGGCTATTCAGTGGCCTGTTGGAATGAGTTTTGTGGTCTTAACAGTTCAGTACATGTGCCCAAATCACAAAAATCATCACTACAACTGGAACCTAGCAGGTGAAGAACTGAAGGGCCATGGACTCTGAGCTGCACTCCCACCTCTAGAGATTAACCTTCTCGATAGTTGTTGTGATACATTGTAGGGGAGGTAGTATAGGAAGACTACTTGATGAATGAATCAAAGATTTCAGTTTACTGAGCTTTAAAAGAAATTATGAATAAACAAGTTAATGAGCAGCAGTCATTTTGTACATTAAATGGAGAACTGTCTAAGATGGCAAGCATCCTGTAACTGCAAAACTCCAAGTTAAATATCCTTATCCATCAACATGAGTACTGTAACCTTGCAGTGTTTTTATCCTTATGATTTCTAAAATAATTAATATTCACTTTCATTTCATGGCATTTTTGTTAATAAACTGTATGGGTGGAAATGTCACTGGTGAATCTGGTTGTCATTTAAGGAAGTGAGAAGAGTAAACATGGATATCACAGCAGAGGTGAGCTAAAAGGCGGACTGTTTGCTGAGACACTTGAAATCTGCAGCACACAAACTTTCTAAAGTCAGCGTGAGTGGGAGTGAAAATCATGTTAGTATCTGTGCCAACAACCCCCTAGAGAAATTGTGCTCAATTCTTGGTTCCTCATTCTGTTTATTTTGAAAATTACCTGATGCCCCAAGAGTTCTTAGAAGCTATTCTCTTAGTTTGCTGAGACACAAAAGCAGGGTAAATTTAGTTTTTATTGTTCCAAAGAATGGAAAAAAGAATCTCTCTAATTCCATCATAAAAGAATAATGGAAAAAGGAAAAGAACCAAAGATCCTCATGAAAAAGAAAGGATAAATGCTTTTTACACCCGCAATATACTAGTTTCCTCCCAACAAGTAGCAGCTCAGGAGAGGGCTAAACACAAAGCAAATGCAGAATGAAAAAATGACACAAAAGATTAAGTAGCAACAAATCACCCCAACTATACTTCTATACTTGCACTGTCTATGTCCTACTATGCAGCTACAAACTCTGTTTCTGGATATTTGATTTCTGGTCAGGTGTGTGGTCCCTTTTGAATACATTCAGTTTGGTTTTAGCTTTCAAAATTCATCATTGGTTTTAGGAACATGTAATCCTCTGAACTCTTTCCCCATTATGAAAGCCATTATTTTTCTATACCCATTAAAGGTCAGTTGTTTTCCCTTATGTATGTCTGCACATCATCTGTCTTCACCTACTCTTTTACCCAATAAATAAGAGCATATTTGTCACACACATTGCTATGGCTCATCTTGTTAAAACTAT